TCAGGCCTTCCGCGAAGAAGTAGCCAGTCATGTCACCCTGGATCTCACCTCCATGGATGAAGTGGTCAAACAGGTGGCGGTCAAGTATTACCCCCTGACTGCGAAGCCTACCAAGCCGCCCACTCAACCGGAGGAGCTAGCCAACAGTGCACGGCATATGTGGCAGCTGCATAGACGTATGAAGGCCCAGCCCTACACGGCCAGGGGTATTGTGGAGGCGTGGCGACGCTGGACTCAGTTCTCACAAGCTCATCGCATTCACAAACAGCGTGCCAAAGTTCGCTCCAAGGTCCGACGAGACGAGCTACTGGAACAAGCCGAACAGGCTGCTACACAAGGCAATGCACATGAGATGTGGAGTGTGGTCAAACGCCTTGCTCCAAAAAAGCCGACCGAAGAAGGTGCAGCTCTACAAGCATGGGCAAATCATGACTCCTAGTGCTGAACTTGAGTGGATCGCCGAGGAGTTCGGGAAGCGTTTTGGGGCGAAGCCGTCGGGCCCTCCGGGCCCTTTGTTTAGGCAGCACGCTCCGGTGCAGCTGCAGGAGGACCACGTGTTGGAGGAACTCCTGAAGATTCCGATGAGGAAAGCAGTCCCCCCGGGGGCTGTTCCGGCGGTAGTGTGGCGTGCGTGTGCAGAGCAGATCGTAGTTCCCCTGGTGGACAAGGTGAATGAGGCTTGGCAAGAACCCCATGTACAAGTTCATCAAGATTGGGCAAAGGCGGATGTTGCACTCTTGCCCAAAGGGAAGCCGAATGCCAATACTCCATTAGACCTGCGACCCATTGGACTTCAGCATCCCATTGGGAAAACCATCATGAAGGTGGTGTTGTCCATGGCAAAGCTGGACATGATCGAGATGGTGCGGAATTGGCCTCAGACGGCTTATCTGCCAGGACGCTCGACCACCACTGCCCTTAAGACCGTGTTTGCCCACTGTGATGCTGTCCGGAAGCAGTGTGCTCTAACTCGACAGAGTCTTCATGATAAATATGCTGGCAAACCTGCGCCACCTTGCTCTGGAGGACTCCAGATCAGTCTGGATTTGACAGCAGCTTTTGACTTAGTCGGATGGCAGCACATCAAAGATGCGATGGAACTAGCATGCATAAATGCCTCAGTCCAGGAACTGCTTCTACAGTGGCTCCGCCAAGTCGTCTACGTCTTTCATCACGGCAAGGACACCAAATCCATCGGGCCACAGTGGGGCTTGCGGCAAGGATGCATCGCGTCCCCCATGCTCTGGGGCATCTTCACGGCACTTTTGTGTCAGGCTTTTGACGCCCAACTCAAGCAATGCTGGTCTGTCGATCATGCCGTGCTCTATGCAGACGACTCACACTTAAGATGGCAGTTCAGCTCATTCTCTGGGATGGAGCATGCGATCGCAGAACTAAGGCAGGTGTTGAAGATCTTCGCTCGCTTTGGTATGAAGGTGAACGAGAAGAAGACCAAGGCCTTACTCATGGTTGCCGGTAATGACAAAAGCAAAGTTCATAAGCACTACGTCCGCACTGGTGCCGAGGGCAAACGCCTTCTTCTTTCCCCCAAGGATCCAACGAAGTGGCTCCCGCTGGTCACTCAAGCCGACTACCTGGGCCTTATCATTGCATATGACCGCTTCGAGGCACTCTCCACGCGGCATCGCATCGCAAAGGCCAATCAGCGCAGATGGGTCTTGGCCCCGGTGCTCCACTCTCGCAAGCTCTCGGTGCGGTATAAGCTGCAAATATACAGGTCCTGCGGGCAGTCTTCGCTACTGTACGGCCTCCACTCCTTTGGCCTGACGCCCAAGCTGATGAAGGAGATCCAGGCTGCATCGATGAAACACCTTAGAGCTGTGGTCTCTGACCCTCGTCATATAACAGGCCGCTCACATCAAGAAGTCCGTGAAAAGTATCTTTTGGAGGACGTGGGCGTTCTCCTCCAACGAGCACATGATCGTGAAGTCGGTGGCGGGGGGCTCGATTGGATGCACTTACCGGAGTGGGATGAGCATATCCAGCGATGCTTACAGGAAGCCACTGCGATGACCTCTGGTCAGATGGAGGACTCTGAGCCTGAAAATTGGGCTTGCCCGGAGTGCGACTCTTTCTTCGGCACGGCGGCAGCTCTCAAGATACATGCTTATAGAGCTCATGGCATAAAGAACAAACCGCTCCGCATCTTTGACAAAGCACGCCATGCTGTGAAGGGATTGCCTACTTGCAGTTTTTGTGAGAAGCGGTTTGCGCGCTGGCAGACCCTGGCACATCACATCAATACTTTAGCCTGCCCTCTCATGCACGCAGAGCAGATCGTCAGTGCGGATGGGGAGACGGTTGAGTCGGTAAAACTATCCCATGTGCATGATCAGAATGCGGCAGCAGAAGAGGCAGCATGTGAAGATCTCCCACCCGAACATGAGCATGATCGCGATAGTGAAACCGCACCTGCGCTTGGAATGCATCATGACAAACCCCTCGTGCAACAGCTCTTGGTTCAACAGACAGCGAACAAAGGTCTGCGCTTCTTCATACAACAGCCCCATCTCACCTGTCAGCTCCACCAACACTGTGGTCTATGTGGGCAGTGGGTGGCACCCCAAAAGGTGATGAAGTTGCACTACCGTAATAACCATCCTGAGATCTTCCCAGCTAAGCAGAAGGAGCTCACACGTATCATTGAACTGAGTGCTACTCCCAGTGTCCGCTGCCACTACTGCGGCACGGCATCCAAGGACTGGCGAGCTCACATGTACAAGTGTACTACCATTTGGCAATGTGCAGTTTTATGTCTGATGCAGGCTTCGGTGAGTGCCCTTGACAATGTTCGGAACGACAGTTCGGGATCAAGAGATGGACGAGTTCTTTGGGGCGGTCCGACTGGGTCCGGAACCGACTCAGACGGCCAACGGGACCAATGGGGGCGACGACTCGGGAATGCACCCGAAAAGACGAAGGGAAGCCCAACATCAAGCGGACTGGGGACAGGAAGCACACTGGGGCAACCAATCACGGCAGGGACCCCTTGGTCTACTCTTTGGCGCGAGTCGTTCTTCAACAGGAGCAGGAAATCAATCTGCTCAAGCAGGACACGGCCCTGGTTCTTTGGTTCAGTCCGGGAAGCGACTCCATCCTAAATCACCTCTACCGCACGGCCTTCGAATTCAAGAAGAAATAGGCCGCCGAACCGTCGTGGGGAATGGCGCACATGCCGTTGAAGCAGGTGATGGCGATGTCGATGTTTCGAGAGCTCAAAGAACGCCATGCCAAGGTTACCGCATCTCAGGAGCTCACCAAGCGGGCGACGGACATGGGATGGCGGGATGCTCAGGGTTGGCACTTTCAGCAGTGGAATCCGAAGCTGAAGCATCTGGAACTCGACAAATCACGAGCGGCAGTCCCAGACATCGAGATGGCGAACAAGCTCGAGCACCTAGTGGAACATGTCAAGAGAGATGTCGTGCACCGGTTCCATTGCACCAGGAAGATGACGGAGACTATGGACAGCAAAGCTACTTTCAAGCTAGATCTATCGGTCAGGAACAAGCATGCGGAGGAGATTTGGGACCTCTTGATCGAGCTCCAGGGCTGCTGCATTTTTCAGTTGATCGGACTGGGCTACCGGAGGGAGCGAGTGGGCCGGGGACCGCTGGCTGAGAAGATCCACGAGCAGCTCCGGTACTAAGGCGCATTTACATGAACCCGGCCAATGCATGCTACATGAATGCGACTGTGCAGGTCTTGGAATGGCTGCTGTATGACATCGGCCATGGAGCGGATGCTATGGGGACAGGCGCTTGTTTCTTCACCTCTATTTCTATGCGAAGTTCTTATATAACCCTTCTGGAGGTCCAGGAGTGGCGAGATCTTGTCGCTGGCTGGGCAGAGGTGCATAGACAACATGATGTGGGCGAATTTCTGGGTCACCTTCTTCCTGCGATGAATATACCATCCTTTCAGGGTCTATTGCAAGCTCGCAGTCTTGCTCTAGGGGGCGGTGTACAATGCATCGACCAGGGGCCATGCACCCAGCCTCTGCTATTGCCACTACCCTCGGCACCACCGGGACTCCACGTGGTTGCCAAGGTACAGTCGATGATTGAGTTTTGGCAGAACGGCCGTGATCGCACGCAAGGCCTACACCGTCCGCCTTGCATCTTGACTTTGCAGATTATGCGCTTCAAACGACATGGTGGACATGTCAAAAAGAATCGCATGGAGGTGCAGCTGGATTCACATCTTCTGATGCCATGTTTCCGGACTGAGGGGGTTGCACGAGAGTATGTGAGCTACAAACTTGTTGCGTACATAGTGCATCACGGGCTTACGCCCAAAAGCGGTCACTATACTGCTGCTTTGCTGGATTCCAACAAATGCGTCTGGCTGTGTGATGATGCTCGCATCCCTCAGCTACAGCAGTGCTCGCCACCGAATCATCGTCGTGATGCTTACATCCTTTTCTACCGTTGTGAAGCGGTGTCAACTCTCAGATGATTGGCGTTGATTCTTGAACTGCCATGCTTTACAAGGCCCTGAGGGGCGGTGGCAATCAGTCGGAGTCGCCTTAAAATAAGGTTGAGCGCTTGAAGCGCCGGGAACGAGTCCCGCTCTAACTCGTCGCATGGCGGACTCCCTCCGCTGCGAGGAAATCTGAAATCTACTACTACTACTACTACTACTACTACGACTACTACGACTACTACTACTACTACTACTACTACTACTACTATTGCTACTACTTCTACCTACTACTACTACTACTACTACTTCTACTACTTCTACTACTTCTACTACTTCTACTTCTACCACCTATATCTACTTGTTACGCATCAGGAACTGCTAATTACAAAGACCTGCCTTCTAGCTACCAGCAGCTGGTAGCTAGAAGGCAGGTCTTGACGTGGCTGGTAGCTGAGCTACCAGCCACGCACTACTTGATTGCTCATTAACTGCTATCTACTAAGTACTAGCTGCTGCTGCTACTTCTATTTGCTTCTGCCGCCTGCAATTCGCAGGGCCAACAATCTGGCTTTGACGCTAACGCATTTGGGTCGGCACGATGAAGCCCTTCCGCTTTTTCGGGAAGCTTTCGAGTACAACGAGCGGACAACGGGAAGCAGCAGCCAAGAGTGGATTACCGCCGCCAACAACTTGGCTGGCAGCCTCTGCCAGGCAAGTGTCATGTTGACCTCGTATGATGCATACCTGCGCAGTCTTCATCCCGGCCATGCCGTCTACATTTTCACATCTTTGTAAAGTAGAGAGACTGCTGACCCAATGGAGGGCTGCCGTTTATATGCCTTGTCAGGTTCCCCGTCCTTTTTCCTTTTCTTGTGCGTGCTGACTTCGAGTAGAGGCATTCTTTGTTCAAAGGCACATCAGTACAGCACACCGTAGTTCTGCAGTTGGTTGCTGTTTGTTACTTTCTTTCATCCTCATGTTGTTGCCTTCGATGCCTGTTGCAGTCGTGTATCCACTTCCAAAGAATCTGTGTGTTCGCAGATCATGTGCCGCTAGGTGTTGTTGTTTGTGTGTTGAGCCGTGCCGTAGATGTTGCTCGATGAGCGTAATTTGCTGGCGAAGTGCATGACGGTGCTGTGGAGTTTTCATATGCTATGTCAATGTGAGTATTTTATCAGTTGCTGCCGTATAATGCCGTATACATGTTTAGAGCACCGCAGTTTCACATGTTGGTTTGAGCCAAGTGCCGCCGAATCACGCCACATGTGATTGATACGTGTGCATACAGGTCCTTGATCTTCATGTGTAGTGACAAGGTTGGTGATTGCACAAGGCATTGAGCATGCCTGTCTACATCATTGCTAGCTTGGCACGTGAGCCTTTGTTCGGCTTCTTCGTACGTGGCGCCACAACTCGTCGCCAAGCGTCTTGTTGAGAAGCTGGCACAAGACTGCATGAATAGGTCTGTCTGGCAGAGACTTGTTGGTTAGATTGTTGGTTAACGTCGGAGGCTGTTCCGTGCATTACATAAGTATGTCCTGCCTTACATTACCGGCTACACGGTTCATGTCTTTTTATCTCATTTTGAGTTTTTTGGAAGCCGCATCTTTCACTTGTGGTGTCAATGAGACTGGCAGTATGTCGTCCAATTGTTCCCAGACCTTGCGATATCCCACAACAGAATATACCTTAGACTATGGTAGGACCAACAATATGATTTAAGGCATATCCTGCAATTCGGGGATGTTAGAGGGCCTGGGTTCTGCAACCTTGAGATGCCCTGTCTACCTATCGTCCGAAGCCACGAGACCCGAAACTCCAATCAGGGACCCTAAGCCCGAAACCTTAAACCCTAAACCCTTAACCTTAAACCCTAGACCCTAAGTTTGCTTCTGCTGTTGACCTTAAACCCCAAACCCAAAGTTTGCTTCTGCTGTGCAGGCCGGGGACCTCGAGGAAGCCGCCGAGGTCGTTTCTGCATGTTTTTTCATGTGCTTGAGGGAGTGAAGGGTTCAGGGAATCCTTCAAAAGGGATGAAGGATTCGGGGGTTTCTGCACAAGTGTTTTGCTGCGTCCAGTAGTCTGAAAGGGTTAAGTGTTTGTGTACCTGCCAGCAAAAGAGTCTTAGCCAAAGGAGGGTCAAGGGTAGCTCAGTAACCCGGCGCAGGTTACGGTTCGGGTTGCGAGTGGGATCGCCCAAGCAAGGCAACCGTCCTGTGCCAGGTGTTTTTGAAGGCCGTCGGGAGTGGCAGGCGTGTGCTGGGAGAACGACATCCGCTGTCCATCAAGTCCGCCAGCAACCTCGCCGCCGCTTGGCACGGCCAACCACCCTAAACCCTATAAGCCCTATAGACCCTATAAACCCTATAAACCTTATAAGCCCTATAAACCCTATAAACCTTATAAGCCCTATAAACCCTATAAACCTTATAAGCCCCATAAACCGTATAAACCTTATAAGCCCTATAAACCCTATAAGCCCTATAAGCCCTATAAGCCCCAAGCCCTAAACCCTAAACCTCGCTCAGATCTTCGTATCATCGCCGAGTCGGAGGCCCCCGAGACTCCCCAAACCCAGGGGCCGAAGGACCCTGAACCTCGCACCATAACCACCCAAACTCTGACCCGAAAGCCCCGACTGCCGAAACCTCAAACCGTCAAACCCAGAAGCCTTAACCCCTAATCCCCAAACCCTAAAATCCTAGAACCTTGTTTTGCCTATGCAGACTTGATGGTTTAATGTGCACTCTAAGTTGTCTTGAAAGTCCTAGTAATTCGCTATCTGCCTTCGGCTATTGAACGCATACAATCGTGACGGCAAGTTTCATAGGTAGACTGATCTCGGTACCTCGACCGTCCCTGTTTGTGATGGACTTTTTGCTCGTGAGCTCTGCTTTGCCTTGGGGATCGGCTTATCGCACCTCAGTTTCACTCAAACAAAGAGCCTGAAACTAGTTCCTGGACGTCCACTCCTCCTTACTTCATTTGCGCGCGGCGTGGTTTTCCTCACATTGGGTTCCTGCTAGATTCGTGTCTTGAGGAGTAAACTGTAAACCCTAAACCCTAAACGCTTAAACCAGCCGAAACCCTAAACGCCTAAACCCCTAAACCCCAAAGGCCTAAACCCTAACCCCCTGAACCCCAAAGGCACCAAAGCCCCAAAACCCTAAAGCCCCAAAACCCCTAAAAAACACCAAAACCCCTAAAAAGCACCAACACCCCTAAACCCCCAAACACCCTAAGCCCAGGTGGGTGGCAGTCAAAATTAGGGTCCCTTTTTGGGCCCCTATTACAATACGGCACCTATTATGTAGGGTACCCAAAAAGGGATCCTAATTTTGACACCCAGGTGGTGCTTCAAAGGCTGGGCCGCCTCAGCCAGGCTGCCGAGGAGCAGGCCAAGCTGGTTTCCCTGCTCGAGGAGACGACGGCCGGTGAAAAATTTGGGGGTCCTTTAAGGGCTCCTTAAAGGGATCTATAAGGGTTCTATATAGGGTTTAAGGTTTAGGGTATTCGAAAATTAGGGTTACCTTGTTTTGGGGTCCTCATAGTAAGGATCTCAGTATTTAGGGTACTATACTAGGGTCCCCAGCTGTGAGGTTTGGGGCCCGAAGAGAGAGGTACTGCTGGGAGTTTCTGGTTCTGTAAGATAGGGCCTTCCTTGATGATCGGAACGAGAGGTCTGGGGCTTGGGGCAAAACTTATATTCTCAGTACAGAGGGAGTATGCAGGAGTGTGATTCGTATCGAGTTTCATCCGGACTTGTGTGGTAGGTCGGTCCACGAGTTTCAGGGTTTAGGGTTCAGGGCTCAGGTTTCAAAAGGGGGGATATTTGGCGTCAGAAACAGCGGCACTAGGGGTGCAGGAGACTCGAGGAAGAGATGATGCCCAGACTCGATGCTCAGCGCTTTTCGGTTCACGATCTCGCGGGGAGGCAAGGGTCCTTCTGGAGTTCGAGTAATATAGGGAGCTAAATAATTACCTATACAATTTTGGGGGGTTCCTTATTGTAACTATAGTACAGTGTACCCTTAACCCTACTCTAATTATTAAGGCCCCTATACTAAAGCCTTATAGTACCCTTGTAGTATCCCTTAAAGGAACCCTTTAAAAAGGAACCCGTATGCCGAGTGTTGCGCGAGCGCGCGTCTCCTACCTTGGCGGGAAGAGATTTTTCAATTCCAGAGCCTCTGAACTTTGAATCCCCACCTCTGAACTCCGAGCCCCTAAACCCCTAAGCCCCTGAACCCCTAAACCCTTGAACCCCGAAACCCCTAAACCAATACACCCTAGACCCCATTCATCCAAGGACGCGCCGCCTCCTTCCTGGAATTGCTGCAAGGGTCAAGAAGGGGTCAGAAGCGAGGCTTTGAGGACGGGAAAAAGAAAAAGAACAGAGCCTTCTCATCCGGCTCGCTCCGAGTTTGAGGACAGACATTCCTGTTCTGAACGCCGGAGTCTTGGGGCTTCAATAACTCGAAGTGGGCTTTGGGAAGAGGGCTTTGGGATGCATGTTGCTATGCTTATGTAGGGACTGCAAGTTGTGTCATTTCCAGTCATTACGGATCTTGGCGCCCGCCTTTGGAGCATCAGCCTTTGGCTCGTTCTGCCGGGGGGCAACATCCTCCTCTCAATGCCGAATCGATCCCTACAGCTCCACGCCTGTGAAAATGAAGCCTTGGGCCTCTGACCACGGTTTAGGGTTTTGGGTTGAGGGTTTAGGGTTTAGGATTAAGTCCGTGCTTAAAAGAGGGTTTCTTAATCACTAACGCCATGATCCCCAGCCGGCTTGCTGCTGCGAAGCACATCGGATTCGTTGGCCTCGGCAGCATGGGTGGCGGCTTCATGGAAGCAGTCAGAGAGACTTGTCTAGGAGCAACCGGACAGGTCAACAGAAAAAGATTTCTGCATGCAAGCATGGACTCATGTATGTTCGTACCTACGTGTGCATGCATGCTTTCTTGTATGCAGTGACCATTTGACGGTTGGTTGTTTCGCGCGTGTCTGGCAGTTCGTCTATCTTCTTGTGGATTTGTCCTGGTCTCCTTACATTGATTTCCTGCAGCTGAATCTGTCATTATGTGCTGAGTGGCTGACACGGTGTGTTCTTGTATCTATCTGATCTGTATCTTACAGAAGCCCAAACCCGAAACCCTAAACCCTAAACCCTAAACCCTAAACCCTAAACCAAACCCGAATAGAAGCTTGAATCTTGAAGCCTGATGTAGGAGGCAAGAAACCCTGAAGTTCTCGAACCAAAAAGGCATGGCTGCTAACCTAGTGGCGAAACTTGCAGCTGGCAAGCCGGAGGTGCATCGCGTTGAGACTTTAGGGACTTTTTGGTGGATTGGAGGCCTTTTCAGGATTTCGCGCTTGGGTGGATTGTTTCTTTGACCGGGGTTTCGAAGCGTGGTCCAGGGTTTTCAAAAGGGCATTCCGGAGTTGAGGGTGATTTTGTGCCCACGCTATTGTCACTGTTACCGCTCTTGCCACGACTGTTGCTAGCGCCACTTGCTTTGCGACACCTCCTTCTCATTCTTTCGGTGCACTGATGGTCATCAGGTAGCCTCAACCCTAAGATCCAGAACCCTAAACCCTAAACCCGAAACCTTACAGCCCTCAACCCCAGGGCCGTGCCCTCCTCTTTGATCGCTCCGGCGCGGCTGTCCAGCGCGTGGTGGCTGAGGCCGAAGCAGTTGCCGAGGCGGCTGTTGGAGTCTTTGGCCGCAGTGCGCAAGGGGTGTGGGCGCAGTAGGGGTTGTATTGGAGTTTGTGTATGGTTTGGGGTTTAGGGTTCGGCGCCCCAGTTCCTGGCATATGCGTAGTCCAGGTGTAAAAGGGTTCAGGGAACTTAGCTTCTGTGGTTGTGAAGGAACCGGATAGAGCACTCAATGCGACTTCCGGAGCTATTTACCACGAACCGCCCGAACCACAGCAAAGTTCTCGACCCAGACCTGCCCCAATTGGCGGCGAAGTGCGACATTGTGTTCCTCTGCCTGCCTGAGGCAGGGGCAGAAGTGGTTCAGCGATCTTACATGGATGTTTAAGAGGGTCTGGGTTCTTGCTCTTGTCGCCCTCAGAATGGGCTTGTAAAGTAGGAATGCTTGCCGCATCCTCGCCCACCCATTGCAGCGGCTACGCCAGGAACCAGGGTCTTGATTCCCACGGAAGACTAGGCTGACAGTTGCGGCACAGTACCGAGCAGGAGTCTTGTAGGCTTCGCGGGATCGTACATGTTTCCCTGCCAAGGGTCAGCAGTCAGCAGTATGTTGGTCGTAGCTTGAAGCCTGGAAAGGGTGGGGTGGTCCTGGATGCTGTCCAGACCATGTCGCCGACTTTGCGTGAAGGCCGACCAGGACTTCGTTCGTCCTCTGGGCCAACAGGGTTTTGACGGCGTTTTGGCTGTTCTGTTTGTTTTTAACTTCCGGAGGGCTCTGTGGAATGACTTTTGGACCGAGCCGAAGCATCATTCCTTGCCTCCCTGTAGTCATATCAGCCCTTGTGCATACCAGCAGCTTTCAGTCACATTGACGAAGTAGTCGTCGCCACCGGCAGGACTGCAGGTTCATGTTAGGCATGTGTATGTGCATGAGTCTCGAATCGAATGCAGCCAAATGCTCCCTGAGCGTGATCCTCTTGCCGCTGAGTGAACCGTTGCGAGAAGAACTGCCTAAAGTTTTCGAGCACTACGCCTGACGGCCTCAAGTATCGGGGTTCGTTTTTGATAATTCCGGAGTAGTCGGCTCCTTCAACTGTTGACATGTCCAGAGACAAGCGGTCAGCCAATGAACAAATTATAGATCCCTGCGAAAGGGCTCCGGAGATACATCTTAGCCTTCGAAAGGGACCAACAGAAAGCTCGAAAGTTACACAGCTTCGCATAGGTCTTGACCCGGAGCCTTTAGCGCCTGAAGCCTAACCCGCAAATCCCTGAGAACCAACCTTAAGCAGGGGTTCTGGTGGTCGACAGCAGCACCACGTCCCCGGCCGTCGCACAGAAGGCATTCCGGGAGGGAAACCACTACCACGACCACTACCACGACCAGTACCACTACCAGTACCAGTACCACTACCACTACCACTACCACTACCAGCACCAGCACCACTACCACTCCACTGCCACGTCCACTGCCACCACCAACACGACGACGACTACTAGTACATCATTGGTATCGTTCGTCGTGTTGCTCAGGTTGCTGTTCTGTTCCCAGCACACATCTGGCAATGAAGACCATGGTTTGTTATTAGCATGATCACTAGTAATTGTGTCATCGTTGCCGTAAGTTGTCGCTATCTTCTTTTTTTGGACTAGTGCTGCGCTACTCGTGTTCTCACGGCGAATCCTGACAAGGACGAATAGCCTAGGCACAAGGGCTGAGAAGAAGCCTTTACGCTGCTCCAAGCGATTTTTTCATCAGCTGCCACGTTGCCACGGCTTCGGCCGCGACCTCCTCAGTGTCTCCATGCCCTGCGATTGGGGAGATCGTCGAAGAGCGGCTTCGATCCCGCTGACGTCGTAGGTAGAAGAAATTTGGCGGCTCATAGCTGACGCGTACCCGGACTTCAAGTGCTCCGCAGAGCCCAGGTATGGGAATAGCCGCAGCCCATCAACCTGGATAGCGATGCTGCTTCCTACATGGACTGTGTCGAGAGCACCAACCGATTGTCTTCGCTTCTCTGCAATGTCCTGTGCGACGGAACATAACACGAAGCACAATCGGATCTTTGCATGCGCTTGGCGCGTCGAGGGGGTTGAGTGCCATTTCAACCGTTTCGGAGCGGCAGGGTCAAAAGATCCCCGTCGGAGCCAGTGCTGAAAATCTGGATGATGAGTGCGGCCGTGAGAAACGTGTCAAGCCAAAACAAGAGTTCCACCACGTGTTTCACCATGACACCGTTGCACAGGGCAGCTCGCTGCGTCTACGTGTGCCAGCTCTGGTGGAACAGACCCTTCCCGAGCTTTCACCAGGCCTCGTGCCCAACCGCAGTTTGGTTTGCTAACCCCTGAGCTCATGTCCGCTGCTCTGAAGCGTGTACTGAACCCGAGATCACAAACCAGATCTGAGACCCCGAACATACAAGGCACAACACGCAAACATCGGAAGCTTCCCCGCTGAACAGCCCTTGAGGCAGCGCAGCAGCTGGGTCAGCGAGGTGCCCTTGTAGCTTAGAACCCTAAACCCCACACTTTCCTCAACCCTAAACCCTAAACTCTGAACCTTAAACCCTGCACCCTAAACCCTGAACCCTAATAAGTATCCAAAACCTGGAGCCCTCCCAAACTTGCGCGGCCTCCACCTCCCATGGCTGAGGGCGTCGGGGTCGGAGCCTCGCAAGAAGTTTTTTCTGAAGCCCCGGGACTAATAGTTACCACATTCTTTGGGGGCTCCTTATTATAGTTATGGTATAGCTGGCCCCAAACACTGCTTTAATCCGTGCAACCTTGGCAGTGCCATCCATTCTCTGAAGATGACTACCTTCACTGCTCGATACGCCACAACCTGCCACAAGACCCCGATCTCCCAATCGAAAGAGCTGCTTGCAAAGACGAAGCCCTGGATTCAATCGACCCCTAGCCACCGAGAAGCATTAATCATAAATGCCGAGTCTCTACCAAATGCTTGAGCCACTGTAGACCCGATATGCAAGATGCTTGACAATGAAACCTGCCGCTCTAACCCGGTACTTCACGCGAGCCAGTTCAACTTCAAGGCCCCAGGCATTGAAAGCTCTGCCGCCTGCATCCTGAAAGCGCTCGACCCAAAACGTTTAGCGCAGCCTGAGCAGTCTGGCCAAACATCCTTGATGCCCCGAAGCCCCTAGCCCCAAACTCACACCCCATATCCAACGCATGCCCGCTCGTGAGGTGTTGGCTTCCTTGATGCACCCGTGACTGGGGCCCCCGCGCGTGCAGCTGCGGGAACGCTCACGTCCATGGTGGGTGTTCTGAAAATGCAGGGCCGGATACTATGAGAATTCAGGCTTCGGGGGATGTCCGCAGCTTTCAGAGTTCTACTGCAAGTCTTCCGCGCTAGTTTAACACCGTCTGCAGTAGCGGAGTGCTGCATACAGCATGCAGCTAGCCCAAGGGCTTTCGCAGGCATGACGACGCGTGCTTTTGCCAAAGGATAGATAGGCCAAAAGAGTTACTTAATGACAGAGGGCTTTTGTTGCGTGCATACATGTGCATGGTTGTGTATGTATAGACGTGAGAAAGGGGAATCGAGGTATGAGTATTTGTCCAGGGGTCGAGTCGTTTGCACAGGCATTTGCAGGACAGGAGTTTAAGTCTTGCAGAATCTTTGCGTTTCGGATTCAGGGTTTGGTTGGCGTGGTGTATACTTCTTGCCAAAACCTCGCCCAGCCCTGCAGGTGGGTGGCTCCGAGAAGCACCTGGAAGCCGCCCGACCTTTTCTGGGAACCTTTGCTACGAAGATCCTGTCCCTCAGCTGCGCATCTCTGGGCGTCTGTGTTTGTGGGCGTTTTGGGCGTGGGGTTATGGCTTTAGAATCGAGACACATGCGCGTTTCGTGGCTATCTTCTTGCTGGATTTGGGGATCCCGAGCTTTGCCGATATGGTGCTAGAAAGGGCCACAGAGCGGAGGACATATGCTTCGCAGCACTTACATAGCCGTGGTACCCCCCGCTGGAATCATCGTGATCACCATGATCCTGACTTCGACTGGGCTGCAGCCAGGAAGCCAGGAGGTGATCTTGCTGATGCAGACTTCGTTCAATCTGAAGAGTGATGTGGGGCCCCTTCTCAGTTTGTTGTGTCGTTGTGTACTGCTGACCGGCTTCGGCCTGCGTGCCACCCCGTCGTCTCAGCGAGTGCATGCGGCACTTTATGCTTCCGGAGCCCAGTATCCCAATCATGCCACTGTTGAACCTCATACTTACTTTTGTTTAGTAGGGAATGGTGGAATGGGGTATACTTCCTCCATTCCCTACTAACCAAAGGTAAGCTGTTGAACCTCATAGCATCCTACTCCTTGCTTCGCCTCTACTCTTGCCTTCGCCTCAGAAGAGGAACCTGGGAGGCGCTTTTCTCCCCGGTCTTAGTAGGGACTGGGGGAGTGGATCCCTATAGTAGTTTTTTTGTATCACCAAGAATCGTCCCCCATAATCCCTTCCCCCAATCCCCAAGAATAGTCCCCTAATCCATTCCCCCATTCCCTAATTACCCTAGTAAGCACAAGACAGCTTGGGCAGCCCCCAGGACCGGGTAGACCCCGAAACTCTGAAGCCCGAAACCCGAAGCCCGAAATCCTTCAAGCCCTGACCCCTAACGCCCCTAAACCCTGAACCTATATGTTGCATAGAACCCTTAAAGAACCCTCAGCCCAGCAGAGTCCTCTGTCCTTGGAGAGCCATGTAGAACCCAAAACCCCTCCTAGCCGGCCGAAGCGAGGCACATGGGCGAAGTCGGCAACGGTCAGCTCGCGAAGGCTTTGAACAATTGTCCATTCCTCAGCTAAAAGGTTTAGGGTTCAGGCGAGGCTTGCGTTTAGCTTGCCTGCTTTTGGCAACCAGTTCGGTGCTGGTGCTGCTGATCCTAAAGTTAACGACCTCCAAGCTTTCTGGACACTTGCGGTCATGCTATCCGCTTGAGGTTTCCTTTACGCCCTGCTGCGCTTGCCGCCCACTCAGAAGCCCCAAAAAGCCGGCGCCAGGTCTCTACAACGTCAGCTGCGCGGCCATGGCCGAGATGCTCCCTTTCGCCCTGCGCGCGGGGCTGCCGATGCCGGCCTTCGTGGATGCCGTGACATCGGGAACGGGGCAGCGCCTGGGCTTGGCTTCGGCTTTGCTTCGGGTTTTGAAGCTATAGGAACAAGTGTTTGCGGGGACACGGAGTAAATCAACAACTATGTGTGTGTGTGTGTGTGTTTGTGCGTTCGTATGGGAGTTTCCGTAAATTAGGAGTACCTTACTTGGGGTACTTATAAGGATCCTACTATTTAGGATGCTAGACTAGGGTTCTCTATTTTAGGAACCTCCCCCCCATATATATATATATATATACACACATACACACAGATGAATAACAAACTTTTGATCGACTTCGAGCTTCACCCCCGAGCACATGGGAGGTCAACACCTCAACTCTCTGCAGATGCCCCAGGTCCTTCGGCTTCAATCAGTGGGCCCCTTTGGTCTTGCAGCGTAGCCTGGTGGATACAGCTAGCATACTTTCTCCTGTTATGTTACATGAATGTATATGTTACTTTTTGGATAGGTTAGATTAGTTTACTCGGGTACTCTGAAGTCTCCAGCTTTGGGACCAACGATTGGTCCAACAAACCCCACACACACCTACCGCCCTCCCCCGCACGCCGCAGCTCAGAGGCTCTAAGCCCTGAACCGTGACCCGCACTGAATAGTATAGCAGCGTAAAGGGTTGCGAATTTTATTCTATAGGGATCCTCATGATAATTTTGCTGCAATATGCCCCACAACCCTATTCCAACGATCGAGGTCCCTATGTTATATTACCCTTATATATAGATCCCTAGCCCTTATAGACCCCTCAAAAGAAGCCACCGAGCTTTCAAGGTGAGTTCGAGGCACCCAAGCATGGCTTCCCCATGGGGGCGGCTTTCAAAGACCTGGAGACGCTTGTTTCAGCGGCTTCTGCTCAAGGTGCCCTCTTCTGAGTACTTGTTAAGGGCTTTATTTAGGAGGTTCCGAAAATTAGGGGTAGCTTATTTTGGGGTCCTCGTAATAAGGACCTTGCTATCTAGGGTGCTAGATTAGGGTCCCCCATTTTCGGAAACTCCCATTTACAGTTAGCATAATAGGGATCTAGAGTAAATCATATGGTTCCTTATTACGATAACTTACATGAACCTCCTTAACAAGAGCCCAGTAACACCTCGGTTTACTTCCCTTGGGGGGTTTAGGGCTCAGGGCTCATGGCGTTCAGGGTTTACGGCTTTCAGATTGTGGGTCGTAGACTGGCTAGACTTGAGTCCAGTGGCACAAAGGGCTTTCAGACCCTAAGCCCTTAACCCCGAACCCTAAACCCTAAACCCTAAGCCCTAAACCCTAAGCCCTTAACCCCGAACCCTAAACTCTCAGGCTTTGACACCTGAACCCGCCATGCTGAAGGGCTCCGAGGGCGGGTCCAGGGCCTAGAGAACGCCTGCACTCCAATTTCTGCTTCGTCTGCTCAAATGGTCGTAGCGGTTTAGGAGATGGGTCATAAGGACCTGGTAGCTGTAGTCAGAATACTTCAAAGCCCCCATTCAGGCATTTGTATCTCATACCTCCCCTTGAACCCTATGGTGCCCTCATCGAACACCCGTATAGATTCCCTGCTAGTTTTTTTGTGGCGGGATGTTACGGGGCCTGTAGCCCAGCTGACTACGTCTCTTGATCTTCCAAGTTCAGCTGTTTTCCGATGCCTCTAAGGGTTTTCAATGAAGAACTCTAGCACGAGGGTTCAGAGCGAGAAAATAGGGATGTGTATTTTCTTTTGTCTTTTACCGGATATGTTCAAGTGTGCCCTTCCCTATACCCTTAACCCTATACCCCAAACCACATGCCTCGCCTGGATTGTCCGAGTGTGAGCGCGGAAACCCTAAAGCTTAGTGTAGGATTTGCGGGCCTTCCCTCGCTACGGTTTACTTGTGTGCACCGGGCAAGGATCTGAGGGCCATGCTTCCGTGTTTAGTGTAGGAACCTGATTAAGAAACCCCGGGCCCATAACCCCAGAATAGTAGGGTTCATATAAGGAACCCCAAATATAGGCCCAAGGTTTCTTAATCAGGTTCCTACATTAGTCTGGTTCTCGACACTAGCGGCCAACAAACCTTACACAGTAAGCAACGACCACGGCGGACATGTTTGGTTGGCCGAGAATGGACTTAACATGAGACCGATATCCCCACAAACATGCCATCCAATGCCGGGTCCGTCCCAAACCCAATGCATCTGAAATCTAATCCTAACCTTTGCTACTTCGCTTGAAGCCCTAGAATCCAAGTCTGAGCCCAAAACCCCAAAAGGTCTTCCGGTACCCCCGGTCGTTGCGGCGACGCTGGCCACGTACCAGAGAGCCCTCGCCATGGGTCTGGGTGAGGAGCACAAGGGAGTCTTGGGACAAACTGCAGCGGTAAGACATGAGGCGCCGTTTTGGGCTGAGATGAGGGGTCCTTTGCATGTTCTGGGATTTTCCTGGTGTTTTGGCAGGGTCTATCTTTGGGTTGCGTGTTTTCGGAAGCTGTCATATTCCGAGGGTTTAGCACGGCTGAAGCCGCCCCAGCATTTTGCACTGACCTTCGTGATGATGAGGATGGCGATGCTGGTGAAGGTGATGGTGATCACAACAACCAAAATAATAACAACAAAAACAGTAGTAACAGTAATAGCAGAAGTACCAAGAGAGAAATGTCACCAAGAACTTCAATTTTAACAGCAATGACAATACTAACAGTAGTAGCAACAACAATAGCAACAATGACAACAGAAATAACAATAACAGCAACAAAAACAGGCATACTGTAGCAATTAGAACAATACTACAAGTAGCAACAGTAACAGTAATAATTTCAAGTAATGCTGTTCTTAGCAAGACTAACAGTCATAGCAACAATAGCAATAACAAGAATAGTATCCAATAACATTGTAACAGTACTAAGGACAAAACTGTTGGCAACATTCCTCCCAGCTCAGGGGCAATGGTGAAAGTCTGGGAGGCCCAGATGGGGGTGCGGTGCTGTGGGACAGAGGCCGAGCAGAAGAAGTGATTGCACGGATCCAGTGCCTTTCGCCGAATCGTGGCGCCGTGTCTCGCTTTAGCACTGCTTCTCCGGCTGGAGTTATAGTTGTTATAGTTCTTTACTATTCTACCTGTTACTTGTTTCTTTCAGCTATTGCTGCATCCACATGTATTGAAATCTGTTTCTGTGCGGTTAGGATCACGCGAGCTGTTGTACACCATCAACCCCAACAGTTGGCTCAGGGTTGGAAGTTCCGGGCTTAGAGGTTTGGGGTCTAGGTTTCCGGAATGCTCCGGTATTTACGCTTTGGTGTCAGAATGCTTCGGAATTTAAACTGCGGTTCTGCAGGTCCTGCAACCACGACCTCTCAGGTCTGTGGCTCTGTGAGCTGTGGCTCAGCCCGGGTGGCTTCCACGCCACCGGAAGTGAAGTGAGCAAGAGACATCCCTGCCCTGTCCTGCGTGCCACGCCTGTGTACAAAGCTTGACAGAGAGTTTAATGTAAAGATTTTGTGCCTGTCTGATCTCTCGGACAGAGAAGCTGTCCAAAGAAGACAGCCTCGTGCTCACGCGTCGGGGGAGAGGCCGCAACATGTTCTGCCGCACCCAAATCCCCCACCCTACACACAGCTCGTAGTTCTCGCCTGCCTGCCGAATGCGAGGGTCGATGCCCGTCTGTGGGAGGTTTTGATCTGTCTTTCCTCGCGAGTAGAGCACTGGCTTCTTACCATGTTTTGAGATTGCTGTGCTCTCTCTTCTGTCAAGGCACCGGCGCCCCCTGCGCCAGTACCGCTTGATCCGAGGCGCGGGCTAATCGAGTTGACAAGTCTAAATAAAGAGTGCTTTCTGTGCGACGAACGGGTCTCCTTCACGGATTTCAGCGTTAGTCAACCTGCATGCTTGCTCTCCTCGGAACACGAGTCAGCTGTGAGTCTGCGGGGGGCACTTGCATCTCTGCAATGGTGGGTTCAAGCTCCTTGTTCGAGGATCTGTTTTTAGAAGCCCAGGCAAAGCTTAGATCCAGCTGAGACCGAATGCCCCAGACACTGTGAACAGCTTTTTTTTTTTAGTCTTTTGCCGACGCCATGGCAGTGCTAGAGATGGCGTCTCGGGTGTTGCTGGTAGCTGGCATGGGAGCCCTGTTGCCGAACCTGAAGGGAGGCAGCCTTACAAAGCCCCTCTTTGACTCGGGGGCATGCCATGATGCCATCGCCTCCGGTGCGAGTTGTCAGGTTTGTGAGACCAAGTTCAAGCACTGCAAGGGCCACTACGTCTATGAGCCCTTCACTGTCGTGCTTTTCGAAGCCATGGTCACTGTGGCCCTGGGCGTGCTTGCAACACTTCTGCTGATGCCGAATCGACAGGCTCCTTGGATTCTAAATCTCTTCCTTGCAGGCAGTGCTACCACTACACAGAAGTTGCCAGAACAAATGGTCCTGAAATCCGAAACCCCCAACACCGTAGAGCTCTCGAAGTCGTTGTTGAATTGCATGCTTTCCAGGCAGTCAAGCAACTGCTCGACTGGCGATCCATCAAGATCGTCTTGCCTGTCGGAGCCAAGCCGCTGTTGAAACGGTTGAAGTTTAGCATTTAGGAATATTTAGGAAGTGTAGGATTTAGGTCATCGTGTTCATCATGGGCTTTGCTGCAAGCGTGCGTGCTGTGCCCATGATAAACAAACTCTGAACGAAACCCTCGAACCCTGAACCCTAATCCCTAGACCCGAAACTCTAAAACTCGGGGAACAGAAAAGGAGCGTCCAAAAAAACCCTAAGACTCTGAACCCTAAACCCTCAAGATCGAATCCAGCAGCCACGCCCTACACGAGGAGCCACGTATGCCATAGGCGACCTGATGGACCTTGCCGCTGCCCGCAACTGGGTTTAGGGTTTAGGGGCTTTTTGTTTAGGTTTAGGCGATTTAGGGTTTTTGGTACAAGTCGTTATAAAAGTGACAAGACCATCAAGATGCATTGTGACTCTCTCTGTCTCTCTCTCTCTGTCTTTCTTTTTTTTCTCGCTCTCTCCTCGTACTGTATTTGTGCATGTACAACATATACCTCGTATGGTAGAGGAAGTGAAGTGTACCAAGAACCCAGGCAACGTGTCCGGCACCACGCTGCTCGTGGCCGCCCAGCTCAGGTTGCCACTCTGTGCACTGCTCAGATGCGTCTTGCTCAACCGCGGTCAGACTTGGATGCAGTGGTGGCTTGGACTCTGTGTACAGTCTTTCTTTCTGCGGGTTTCGATTAGATGTTGGGTGTCCTACAACACGAAGGAAAGGACACTTTGCAATTCTGGCTTATCGCTGGCATGCAGGATTTGGGTTGATGCATACTTGCGTGTTTCTTTAATTCTGATTGTTTGTCCACACATGCTTTTGCATAAAACGTACGCATGCATGTGCATGATCAGCTGCCTGTTCACGGACATCATGGATGCAGTCTGACGTGCTTGCAGGCGATGCTTCTTTTGTTGAAGCGCCTTCCGAAAATGTTAGATCCATAAATGGGTTTTGATGCAAAGAACATCAAAGAACCACATGGACAGATAGGCTGTGTGTACATACACATGTCAATCAAGCACACACACATGGTTGAATCCGTATGATACGTATGAAATACATCTATATATATATATAGATATGTATATATACATACATACGTAGACATACGTATATGTGGATATACATATGCACGCACACGTGTTGCATTTCTTGCAATCAGGCATGTTATGTATGCATGCAGGTGTTCCTTCGTACACATGTGCATGTACCTATGTATGTATGTATGTATGTATGTATGTATGTATGGATGTATGTATGTATGTATGTATGTACATATGTACATATGTAGCAAGTAAGCAATTATGTGTGCGTGTATGTACTGCGCTCGCATACGAGCATTCATACTAGCCTATACATGCCTGTGTATACATGTACATACACACAGACACATACACACACATGTTTCCGTATATAGATGTGTTTATGTATACTTATTACCTACATATAAATACGGACAAAGATGTAGATCTAAGGATATAAGGATACACATAGATCGGTAGATAGATAGATAGACCGATAGATAGATAAATATGCCCAGGGCAGATGCACATGAGGATTTCCTGTGACCAGGGATTTCAATTACTTTAAACACCTGCGCCGATGTTGAACATAAACGCCTATATGCCTCCATGTTTGTGCGAACAGATATAGTAAATGCAAAATCTAGCAGCCGCTGAGGCAACTGCTCTTCGTCATTACGCTGCTGTGCGTGGGCCATGTCATCCATGACTTAGGGGATACAATGACTGCAGGAGTAGACCGAACGTGGATCGCGGCCTCTCCAGATGGGATCTTGGTTGCTTTGCCCCTAGTCCTCGGCAAGTGCCTGGTCAGCTGCTGTGGTGCAGTGCATGCCGAGTACTTCTTGCAGCACAAGGAGACGAAGCAGGTACCCCTTTGGATCACCCAAGTACATTTCAAAACCGCGACGATCATCGGAGCCCTGACGGTCACGCTTTTCATGGGGAACGTGAGCGAGCGCATCCTTTCAGACCGTTGGCACAACGACATCTTCTCACATCTGCCCAATGATGTGAGTGCTGGAGATCCTCGCATTCCCTTCTTTGGAGGCTGGATCTCTTTGCAGGCTTACATAGGGTTTAAGGTTCTTGGGCTCAGGGTTTAGAATTTACGGCGGTTGTCACATAAGATTGATCCAGATTCAAGGAAAAGCATTCCATAGCAGTTATACTTACTTGCCTTCTGGTTTGCTAGTTTGCTTGCTTCCGTACTTTGCGAGACTGGCATGTGCATTAAACGTGGCAGGGAGAGGTTGGCTTTTGTGAGCAGCAACATTGCCGATCCCAGCCCTGGCCAAACATACCCCAAGCCCTGACAAGACGGAAGTGTACAACAACAACGACAAGTCCCAAACCAAGAACCCAGGCTGAGTTCGACTGAAGGAGACTGGGGGAGACTGACACCGACTGAAGAGTTAAGACTGGATGGACAGGTGGCAAGCATTGGTGCATAGGCAAAACCCTACGAAGCCAGAGACTGCTATCTAGGCAATCATAATAGTAGAAGTCCAGGCAGCCCTTCCATGCAATGCATATGGTGGAAGCATGTCGTAGCATTCGAGATTGAATCTCAACCTGATGCTTTTCGGGTGAAGCATAAAGTAGGCTGCTCCGTACTTGTTTAAAGTTTTAGATAGAGATGTGACTCACTCTATCTTGTGCTGTCTTTATTTCTCTAGATGTACACACACGCACAACAACAGTGTCTCTCTCTTTCTCTTCTCCCTCTCGCTCTTTCTCACTCTTGCGTGCAGACGCTTATTTTTTTACGCATCAGTACATGTGTAGGATAATAGATCCTAGACAAGCAATGCAAACTCACCGCTGTGTCACAACCGAGTCTGCAACACACATGCACTCAGGCTGAAGGGTCCCTTGCTCTTAGATGTAGTTCTGGCTTGGGAAGGCTGGGACAGTAACACCTGGATTCTGGCGGGGTGCCTCATCCTCAACAATTTCCTCGTGGCTGATCAGATGAGGAATCTCACTTCCATCGCGAAGCTGCTCGGCTGAGAGGTTCAGGGTTAGGGTTCAGGGTTCAGGGTTCAGGGGGTATCGGTGCTGCACATCGGCCCTGGATGGATGACTCGCCGGCCAGACTTAGGAACGAAGCACATGCACGGGATTGGCTTAGAAAACTCTTGCAAGGAAGGAATTGAAGCACACCCGCAAGTTGCACATGCGCGCCATTTGTATTTGGTAGCTATAATATTCTACCCCTTTCAGCCCAGCTCGCAGTGCTTGGGTTGGAGGTACGTGGCCTATGCCATCGGCCTGGTCTTGAGCTATTTGGTGCAGCTTTGGGAAGGCCGTTCCTTCTGCGCATGGCAGGCCGGGAAGTTTGGGGTTTAGGGTTTAGGGTTTAGGGGCTTGAAGAATTGGAGCAGGATTTCAGGGCATATTTCAGGGAAACATATCGCAGAGGGAATAAGAGGAAGTGTAGTACTAGTAGGTTTTGTGGTTGGTGGTTGGTTTCTTGTGATTCATGGTTAGGGTGTCGAAACATCCGGTTCCCAGAAGAGACAGTTTCAGGCTGGATGCAAAAGAAGGTCTAGAGTTCAGCGCGCTGTTGCCTTGATAGCCGACGGGTGCTTCGGGTATCGACACAGAGCCGGCCTGAACCCCTAAACCCCAGCCCAGTTGACATCCGGCAAGTCCGAGACACTGTGATAAAGCTAATTATAGTGGTTCCTTTAAGGGTTCCCTTAAGAGATCTTTGCGGGTTTCTTGAACGATTCCTATATGGGTGCCATGAGGCTCCTAAAGCTTACCGACACCCCGAATCAAACCGATTGAGGCTTGCTCTTACGGAGGTCTCGCACTGGCTGCCGTGGTGCCACGACTAAACTTACCAAGAGTGAACATTGCAGTACAGCGAGAAACCATGGATTTGCGAGATGTTTAGCATGTTTCTTGTGGTTCGTACCCAGCACCTTCAACATCGTCATGCCTGTTGGCCAGTTTGCCCCAGCACTGCTCACACTTCTTAGTCGGTTATTGCTGCTGAGTAGTCATAGAGTTATAGATACTCTGCTTGAAAAACTTCGACAGATACTTGAGGTAGCTATGGCACTTTTGAACACCGTCTGCGCTCATTTTCAGGATGTGTCGGTCCGTACTTTCCTTAGTCATCTTGGGTCTACCAGTATTCCTTTGATGGTCAGTCGTATCTCGACACGATCAACAACAGAATTAGTGAATTAGTGCTGTTGTCGTTTAAGCCGTATTAGATACTTGAGAAAGCTATGGCACTTTTGAAAACCGTCTGGCTCATGTTCAGGATGTGTTGGACCGATACGATCAACAATAGAATTAGTGAATTAGGCCGTTGTCACTTCAGCCGTATTAGATACTTGAGAAAGCTATGGCACTTTTGAAAACTGTCTGCGCTCATGTTCAGCACGTGTCGGACCGTACACGTACTTTTCTTAGTCATCTTGGGTCATGCTGTCAAGCTTACCGGTATTCCTTTGATGGTCAGTAGCATCTCGATACGATCAACAATAGAACTAGTGAATTAGTGTCGTTAACCGTGTGCGCTCATGTTCAGGATGTGTCGGTCCGTACTTTCCTTAGTCATCTTGTGTCATGCTCTCAAGCTTTCCAGTATGCCTTTGATGGTCAATAGTATCTCGATTACGATCAACAATAGAATCAGTGCCGCTGTGGTTTAAGCAGTAGCAATGTAGCGGTCTTTCTTGCTGGCTCGGAGCTTGGAGGCTTGTAGCAGCAAAGATCGCGGTTTCGGGACCTTTTAGTCAGCAGGGTCAGAACCAAGAACCCGGCAGTATTCGCAGCCCTCCAAGTAAGCGATCCCCGGGCGCCCTCCCTTTGCTCTCCGCCTAGGCTTACATTGCCCTACCAGGGCCGGGCCACTTCAGATCAGCAATGAAAAGCTGAGTGTGTGAATTCGTGGGACTCGGAGCATCGATCAGCGAAAACTCGCAGGGCCCTGATTTCACATCATTGGAAAGCATTGGCGAGCCTAGTTAGTCTCTAGACTGTGTTTGGCGTGGTTAAGCACAGCCATTCGTCAGAGCATGAAGACTATAAGACTGCAACTGTCCCTGTCCTATCCAAGAGCACCATATTCATGCCGCGTCGCGCAGGGCCCACGGCTTTTGCAAAGTCGGCTCTCGCACGCCTAAGCGAAGTCCGAAGGCTCGCGAGCCCAAGTTTTATCTTCCAGACCATGAATTTTTGTTTCCTCCGGGAATGGACATCGTGCAGCTGTACCTGGGGCATGAAACGCCCAAACGCATATCGTTGTCCCTCAAGACTGAGCCTAGACCGACAAAGTTATGTGCCCGTCTTGCAGCTGCCTCTGTGCACCAATTACGCCTTGGTCAGATGTGCGGTTGTCAAAATTGTCGTTCTGTTCTTGGGTTCGTTAAATGGGTCGCCAGATTTGTGGGCAGTTTTGACAACCGTCCGGCTGTCTTGCTCGATTTGGCTCTTGTGGAGCAAGGGAAGGAGCTTGAAATTCGTCGCTCCTCGTTTCCCGGCGTTCACCGGCCAAGTCCTGCACGCTGAACCCGAGGGTGTTTCGTTTTTAGACGACCATTATCCAGAATGCTGGACTGGCATTCCGCTCGCCCTGGAGCAGCAACGGTGGAACTAACTATCAAACACCTTCCCCCTCAGCACTGATGTTGTTCAGTGAAGCAAGTTTGCTGTGACGACGGGTGCAATAAGCTTTCCGACAATGGAACAACAGCGAGCTGACAACACTAACGACAGTAGGCCCCACATTGCCGACGGTGCTAAATCATCACGATGCGGCTTTTATATTTCCCCTGCCACTCCCGCTCTTGCCATCAGTAGCATAGGGTAGCATCATCGTTTTTTTCAAACATCATTGGCATGCCAGTGCGGCTCCTACTCCTATTACTGCTGCTGCTACTACTACTACTACTACTACTACTACTACTACTATTACTACTACTACTTCTACTACTACTACTACTACTACTACTACCACTACTACTACTACTACTACTACTACTACTACTACTACTACTACTACTACTACTACTGGTACTACTACTACTACTACTGCTATTACTACTACTATACCACTACCACTACCACTACCACTACCACTACGACTACCACTACCACTACCACTACCACTACCACTACGACTACCACTACCACTACCACTACCACTACCACTACCACTACCACTACCACTACTACCACTACTACTACTGCTACTGCTACTGCTACTGCTACTGCTACTGCTACTGCTACTGCTACTGCTACTGCTACTGCTACTGCTACTGCTACTGCTACTACTACTGATACCACTACTACTACTACTACTACTACTACTACTACTACTACTACTGCTACTGCTATTACCACTACTACTACTCCTGCTGCTGCCGCTGCTGCGACGACGACCACGACTGCGACTAGTGGTGCTACTACTGCTACTGCTGCTTGCTGCTGTTGCTGCAACTGCTACTGCGACTACCACTGCTAGTGCTACTTCCTGCTTCTGCAATGAATACGACAACGACGACGACAATAGCTACTACTGCTACCACCACCGCTGCTACGACTACGACTTCGACGACGACCTACCCCTAGCACTACCACGATCACTATCACTACTCCTACCCCTACCTCTGCCCCTGCGGCTACGGCTACGGCTTCGGCTGGGGCTCTGCTACTGATCCCGCTACTGCTATTGTACTGACGAATGATGATTGTTACTGCTACTGCGACGACGGCGACTACTACTGTCACCCACAGCAAGTGCCCAAGTGTCAAAAATGATGGCTGCTTAGTTGTATGAATTGGACATTACATATGGTGGACGCGCATGGTGCCGGCCATCGTAACTGGGAGTCAAACAACTGATGATGCCGATTCGATTTTGCTGGGGCTTCAGGGGGCACGAGAAGTCGCAAAGCATAGAAACACCTGCACAAACCAGCTTCAGGCCAAGGTTACCGCGACGACTTCGCCGGAAAACCATGCCAAATCTTGCCAGCAATGTGTGCAAGGCGTATATGGGACACACTAGTTGGTGGGATTGCAACGGCTTTTTGCGGAATGAAGGGCTGTTGTTGCGAGTCCTTCGAGCTCCTGCACATGTCTTTGCCTATGGAAGCCTGCGTGTTGACGCACTATCAGGTGCCATAGTTACATGGGTCCTGACACCCCAACTCATCCCTGCTTTTCCGAAACTTTCAGGTTTTGCTCCATGATGCCTGAAAGATTCAACATTACATCCCAAACCCGCAACCCTAGATCGTAGCTTCATGTCCAAGCCTGCTGAATATTCAGCTGCCCACAAGCCCGAAGCCTGACTTCCGCAGCCAAAGCCTCGAGTCAGAGATTCAAAGCCTGAAAACCCGCGACAGAAAGCCTGGACTGGAAATCGCAAACTCCACCCTCCGAAAGTCTTAACTGACCCTAAACCCTAAACCCTAAATCCTAAACCCTAAACCCTAAATCCTAAACCCTAAGCCCTAAGCCCTAAGCCCTTAGCTACTGTAGGAGCCTGAAGCCCCAAGCCTTGTCTGTGCCTTAGCCTGGGATGCTCGTGAGCCGAGCCCGAAGCAGAAACCTTGATGCTTAAATCCCGATCCCGCATCCCGAATTGGGAGGTGCAGAAGTCGTGACCTTACATGGTAGGCTCCTCAGTTATGAAGACTCTGAAAATAGGGTACCGTTCAGGACACTCCCAGTCTCAATCCAGAGGGCGCCAAAAGCTTCAATCAATGTCCTAAAAGCACCAACCGCCCCTGGACTTTAAACCCTGCTATGCCGGCTCGTCCTTGCAGGGTGAGCGGCACAATACTCTAAATCTGCAGACAGAAACACTGCACCCCAGCTTCGAAAAGAGTTCTAAACCGCAGATATCAAACCCAGGAAGTGGCCTTTTATCAAACATGGTTTTTCTCCAACTGACTAGCCAAAAGCTTCGCTTGGCATGTCCGAGTGTGAGCGCAGAAACCCACATGGTCGGTTGAATCTGGACTGAGTCGGAAGGTGCTGCCTGAGTCGAAATCCGAAGCCCTATACTAGGCCACTAGGCCCTATACCCTATAGACATCTAATCCCTAAACCCAAACACCCCTAAACAAGACAAAAAAAAACCCGAACCCGAAACCTACACTCTTGCAATACATACTGGTTCCGGGCAACGAACCCGGCACCCCACGGAGGACGTCGACGACCCAAACCCCTCCAGCCTCACTCCGTCGGGCAACGAGGAGGATCCCCAGCAAGAAACCTGTGGTTTTGGGTTTTTGGGGTTGGGGTTTAAGGCTTCGTGTCTTTGCTTGGGGTTTAGGGATCAGGGGTCAGGGCTCCGGCTCAGGGTCTAGGATTTGAGC